GTCTTTATATTTTAATAGGCGACTTGCAGAAATTGTCTGTATTGTATCATCATGATGAAGAGTCAACTTATAGGGAAATTACCTCATACTCTAAGGAAAAAGAAAATAACTTATGTCTTCTCTCTCCTCTTTTCCCCTATATAACGTCAATATTAGAAACACTTCCAAAGAACATAAACATTCTGTATTTCTCCAGGACCTTTACACCCTATTAGATGTAGACTGTCCCAGATCTCTATCACTACTATAAGCGGGATAATTAAGCTAAGAATAATAATAAATTCATCAATGTATATTATTATACATAGAACTGTTCACTAATGTAGGATTTTTTTTTTAAGGAAGAATATGTGATTTTCCAGAAATAAAACATGGAAGCATATATAATGAAAATAAATATAAAAAAATCTTCCCAGCTGATGTAGGGAAATATTTCTACTACACCTGTGATCACAGCTTTGTGACTCCTTCACAATCACTCTGGACTCGAATAAACTGTACAGAGAGAGGATGGTCCCCAGCACCAAAGTGCCTCAGTGAGTAAGCACCCTCCTCATCACCGGGGTGAATTACCAATGTGTCTAGTGGGTGAGAGGCTGTGCCTGAAGGAATCGCGGGGTCTGCATAGTCGTAGCAATGGAGACCAGAGGAGCCAGCAAAGATGACCTATGACAGTCATTGTGAAAAGATGTCTGTGGAAAGTAACTTCACAAATGAAAAATTTTTTCATTATACAAGTTGGAATTAATGACATGGGATACTAATTTTTTCACAAGCGTGGCCTAATTTTTAAGCAGCAAATTTTTTGTACTTGATTTCTCTTTGGAACTTTGCAAAGTGTCATACTCTTTCATTGCAAGATGAGTACCAGTCATCTTTTGCCTTTTAGGACAGTGCTTTTTCCCTTGGGTGGAAAATGGTCAATCTACGTCTTCAGGACAAACACACCGGGAAGGTGACATCGTTCACATTGTCTGTGATACTGGCTACAGTCTCCCAAATGGTCAGAGCAACATTACATGTGGAGAAAGAGGCTGGTCCTCCCCTCCTGAATGCCGTCGTGTCTGTGAGTAACACACTGTGCTCTCAGGTCTGGTATTCATTTATATTTTATAGAGAAATAACAATATTAAGTACAGGTGATATTGCTGTTGCTACTATTGTCACCTTTTCAGTTCAAGGTTCCAACTCTGCCTAAGTAGAGCTGCAAATATCTGGTTCACCACTAGAAAATCATTTTATCTACTTACATAAATTAAATGTAGGTAATAATAGCAAACACTAGCCAAGAACATGCTGAAAAACTATAATTCTCACATTATATAGTTTCTTCAGTGAATGATTTTTATCAGAATCAACAAATCTTGGTAATACATATTGTGCTGCTTTTGAATATACAGCATTTTAATGTAAATCCTAATAGCTTCACATAATATAACAATGCATCAAAAGAAGTAAATCAAAACATGGTTCTCTCATGGAACTTTAAAAGGCAGCCAGTTGACTCTGACAAGGTCTTTTGGCAAGGAAGTGAATGATACATAGGGAGGAAACAAAGGAAGAGAAAACTAGCCTTTTTCAATGTCAAAACCAAATTTGTCAAATTGAATATTTCAGTTACCACACGTGGCTCCAACTTAGGATAAGCCTATTTATAATTCTGTTGAAATAGGCCATGCCAGTTGTTTAATGATCTTTCCTATTACGATGATGCATGTTTTCCATACCACCAAGCAATTCCCTGAAACTGTCTAGCTGGAAATACTGTCAGTTCCCACAGGTAAGAGCTCAGGCCCCCAAGGCTTCTTCCTCCCACCCCCCACTTCACAAGTCAGTCACAAGTCTAGCTTGTCATCTATGCTTTTGTCTACTAGCTATGTGTTAGAGGTTCCCAGGATCTCTTCTTCAGGTTCAATTAATTTGCTAGAGTGTTCCACAGAACTGAAAGAAACATTTGATTTTCCAGATTCCCAGCTTAAAGAATATAAAGAACATAACTGAGGAACACTCAGATGGAAGAGATGCACAGGGTGAGGTGTGTGGAAGGTGTGGAAATTCCAGGCCCTCCTCTTCCAGCACCCACATGCTCACCAACCAGGAATCTCTCAGAATCCCATCCTTTTTTTCTTATGGAGGTTCTACGTTGGGGCAAACTGATTAACCCATGGGCTTTCAGCAGTTGATGTGATCTGCAGCCTCTCTTCCCTCCCTGGAGGCCAGGGTTGTGGGATTGAAACTTTCAATCTTCTCATCACGAGGTTGGCTTCCCTGGCAACCAACTCAGGTGTTTTCCATTGTGTATATACAATGGAATACTACACAGCCACAAAAAGGAATGAAATAGTGCCATCTGTAACAACATGGGTAGACCCAGAAAACATTATCCTCAGTGAAATGCACTCAACACAGAAAGACAAATATTCTATGATATCATTTATACATGGAATCTAAAAAATAATACAACTGATTGTATATGCAAAACAGAAACAGACTCACAGATATAGAAAAAAAATTCATAGTTACCAAAAGATGGAAGGAAATAGGGAGGGGCAAGTTACAGATATGGGATTAAGGGTACAAACTACCATGTATTATATAGAACATATATGCCACAAGGGTATATGGTATAGCAGAGGGAATTACAGTCTGTGTCTTAAACTATAAGGGAGTATAATCTACAAAAGTACTGCATCACTATGCTATACACCTGAGACTAACACAGTATTGGAAACCAATTGTACCTCAGTTTCAAAAAACCCAATTATCCTGTTTGTTAGTAAGGATTCAACTGGAACTCTCATACATTGCTGGTGGGAATGTAAGACAGTACAATCACCCTGAATATCAGTATGGCAGTTTCTTATAGATTTAATCATGCATGTATCAGATAGCCCAGCAATTTCACTTTTAACTATACATCAGGAAATAGTGGAATACATGTTTACTCAAAGACTTGAGTCCAGATGTTCATAAATAGCTCAATTATAACTGCCACAAACTGGAAACACTTCAAAAGACAGTCAACAGAGGATAAAATGGACAAACATACTTACGTTTATATAAAGCTACCCTGCTCCACAATGAAAAGGAGTGAGTTAATGATGCAAGACACCACAGAGCAGACGGGGCCTGACATTTGATGACATAAAGCAGCCAGATGTAAGAGAACGCAAGCTGTATGAACCCATAAACAGAGTTGGAGGGAGGCAGCACTGCTCCACAGGGACGGAAAACACGGGCTTCCAAGCAGAGAAGAGTTGTGGGGGAGGGGTAGAGTAGAAATGGAAAGGCAGAATAGTAAGCGGAGAAGCAAACTGCCTCTAGTTGACTGAGTTTGTGACAATTACACATTGTCACATCATTGGCTGACACGTGGATTTTATTGTATGTAACTCAAATCTGAATAGAGGTGATTTTAACAATTTTAAAAGATCACCTTTATTGGGTGATTGTGGGAAATGAATCTAAAAAAAAGTTGATATATGTATAAGAGATTCACTTTGCTTTCCACCTGAAATTAACACAACATTACAAATCAACTATACTGCAATAAAAAGAAAATTTCCAGGAAGCAATACACAGATATGTATCACTGAACACCTGAAACTAGAACGGCATTTTTACTCAACTATGCTCCGATATAGAATAAGTTTTTAAAAAATGAGCGTTTGCAAACCAAACATATAGGTGTCCAAAAAATTGTAATGTGATTGAGTTATTAATTGAAGAAAGGAAGCAGAAGCAATCTGCTAAACAGAGATTAATAAAATAGAGAATATACAAAATTATTAGAAACAAGAAATTCCAAACAGAAAGAAGAGAACAATTATGAAATACAAACAAAAATAGCACAGAGGTGAGAGTGATGTCAGCAAGATAAAGGATAAGATGCTCCTCCTGGTATCCCACTTTCAATAATAAAAATTTAGCATTTATCCACAAAAGTACCTTTACAGCAGATGCAAGATCCAGGTTCCAGGAGACCATGAAACCCCCAGGGTTCAGTCCAAACACAAGGACAGGCATCTTGTTCCCTTCCAGTGTAGGTGAAAAGTCTAGACTCGTCAACTGGCCCCTGTTGATCAAAGTGAAGAGAAGGTTGGTCTTAGGTTTACTCTGGTGTTTTTCTAGACTAAGTCCTGTACTGTGAAAAAAAAATGTTTCTGTCTTGTTAGGTTGATCCTTTCCTGGGCCTGTGCCTAAAGAAAGCAGAACCTTCTTGTGAACTTTTTGTTTGTTATTTTGCCTGAATGTGAAATCATTTCTGGGTTGCAATCTCAGTGCCCAGTCCTGATACATACACAAAGCAAAGTGAAAGCTCCACCAACCAGTGCAGCCTAACTCCTTGAGTCCCAAGGTCTCAAAACAATCTACTTCTTTTTTTTTCTTTTTTCATTTATTTTTATTAGTTGGAGGCTAATTACTCTACTTCTTTTCTACACTCTTCACAACCTCTTATGTTGGTTTTTATAATTCTGTTCAGGATTTTTAGTTAACAGAGGGAATATGTAGCAGAAGAAATAAGCAGAAATGTTCCCTTCTCACTTTGTCCAGACAGAAAGCCTGAAATTCCCTTCACATTAGACACATTTGTAATTCCTTGAATTTTATTTAAGAAGTTGATGTTTCTCTTGGAAAAAAAAATGAAAATCAATTTTAAAAATTACTAAAGATTCAATAGGCATTGCAGTATGCTTAATACATAAGACCAAGAAACTTCCTTTGTTTATGGTAGCAATCCATCTTTCTAGCATACATGCATTAAGGAAAACATTTTTAAGTACCAGAATATCACAAAGCAGACATGTTTGTTAATGTCTAATGTATGCTTTCACATGGGGTGAAAGGAAGGCCTTAAAATTTGACACTCAGTTTAAGTGATTAAAATTCCTTAAACGAATCATTTCTGTCATCAGAAATCATAAATCTTGATGTCACATATTGTGGTATATTTTTATTTGTTTTCTTTAACCTCTGCTTTTCTTTGGTCTCTCAATAAGACCCTCAGGGAAGATGTGGGCCTCCTCCGCCAGTAGACAACGGAGACACCACCTCCTTCCCCTTGCCACAGTACCCTCCGGGGTCGGCTGTTGAGTACCGGTGCCAGGCCTACTATGTGCTTCAGGGAGAGAGACACATAGTGTGTCGGAATGGAGAGTGGTCAGAACCACCAAAGTGCTTAGGTAATATTCTGTCTTCTCGTGGGTCCTGGGAAAATCAGTGCAACTGGTATAATATTGTGCTGTTTAGAATAGAAATTTTATGGATTAACAACAATTCTATTGAATGTGTGACTAAAAGATAACAATATATGAGAAAATAAAGTCTGAAAAACTTATTGTTCAAGGAATCATAGCAATGAAAGATTATTTAATATAAACTCAATGTGATATTGACTTCATGAATCCTTCATTATAACCCTTAATAAATTAAATGTACTACCTCACTTTTATATCATTAATTGGAATCTACATAATGGGTTTTCAGTGAATTAGCTTGGAAAAGATTTTGAGAATGAAATCCTGGACCAGTGTAGTAGATTCTACTTGAAAGTCTAAAATCCTGAAGGAAATATTTGTATACTACTTAATGTTCTATGTTTCTTTTTAACTTCAGATCCATGTGTAATTTCAGAAGAAATGATGAAACAACACAACATACAGTTAAAATGGAGAGATGATAAAAAAATTTACACTAGAACAGATGACACTATTGAATTTATGTGTAAACGTGGATATAGCCCAAGGACACCAAATCATACATTTCGAACAACCTGTCAGAAAGGAAAATTGGTGTATCCTCATTGTGAATGAAACATTGGTGAAAATGCAGTCACAAAACTGAACTTTTCATTATTAATCCAATTCTCATTTTATCAAGTAAATCAGAATTTGTGTTAAATATTATGTGGATGGTGCAATTATAATCCAGGTGACCAACTAATCACTTCTGAAAAGCCTTCATTAACACTTGGAAAATCAAAATGCTACATGTCCTATTTATAAAACATAAAGAAGAAAGAATAAACTTGGGAAGAAATTAGATGTAACAACTTCAATGTCTCCTTCCATAGATCATTCTAACTTTCTAAAATATTCTCCATAACTTCTGAAGTTTTCTGAGACTTCATTTCATAAAAAATATTTATCTCCATCCTCAAAATATCATTTAACAAACATGTAAAAACCTGTGTGTCATACCTACATTAGTCATTAGATCTAGTTTATTAGATTGGTAATTAGATTTCATTTCTTTTTATGACTGTAATATTCCAGTGTTTTTGTACCACATCTTCTTTATCCATTTATCCGTTGATACACACCTAAGTTGCTTCCATGTCTGGCCTATTGTAAATGGTGCTGCAATGAACATTGGAGTACATGTGTCATTTTAAGTTATAAATTTTTAAATCCCTGGTTTTCTCAGGGATATCCCAGCAGTGGAATTGCTGGGTCATATGGTAGTTCTATTTTTACCTTTTAAATGACCTTCCATAGTGTTCTCCACAAGGATGTATCAATTTACATTCCTAACAATAGAGCAAGAGGGTTCCCTTTTCTCCACACCCTCTCCAGCATTTATTGTCTGTAGCTTTTTTCATGATGGCCACTCTGATTGGTGTGAGGTGATACATCGTGGCAGTTTTGATTTGCATTCCTCTAATAATTAGTGATGTTTAGCATCTTTTCATGTGCCTCTTTCATGTATGTCTTCTTTGAAGAAAGGTCTGTTTAGGTCTTTTGCCCATTTTTTGACTGGGTTGTTTGTTGTTTTTATGTTGAGTTGCATGAACTATTTGTATATTTTGGAGATGAATCCTTTGTCAGTTGCTTGAGTCTGTCATGCAGAGTGAAGTAAGTCAGAAAGAGAAAAAACATCATATACTAATGCATATAGGTGGAATCTAGGAAAAATGGTACAGATGAACCTCCTTGCAGGGCAGGAATAGACACAGTTGTGAATAAACATGTGTACACAGTCGGGGAAGGGGAAGGTAGACTAAATCGGGAGGTGAGGATTGACATATATACATTACCATGGGTAAAACAGGTAGCTAGTGGGAGCCTGCTGCATAGCACAGGAAGCTCCAGCCGGCGCTCTGGGACAGTTGAGATGGGTGGGATGAAGTGGGTTGGGGGGAGGGAGGGGACATTTGTATACATATGGCAGTTTCACTTTGTTGTACAGCAGAAATCAACACAACACTGTAAAGCAATTGTATTCCAATTAAAAAAATCAGTTGATTAGAAACATTTCAAATTTCTACAAAAACATGAACACTGAAAGATGAAAATAAAGATATAAATAAAGTAAAAATATTTTAAGGTAATACTTTGTTACTCTTTTGTTTAAATATCTATCATTATACATTGTTATAAAAATTTTTTTCTTGTGATAAGAAATTTTAAGATCTACTAGCTAAGCAACCTTAAAATATATTATTTTAACACATTATTAGCTGTGGTTACCTGCTGTATGTTACATCCCAATGACTTTTTTTTCCCCACAACTGAAAGTTTTTACATTTTCTTCATCCATTTTGCCCAACTCCCTATTCCACCTCCAGACTCTGACAACCACTAATCAATCCTTGGTATCCTTAAGCTCAGTTTTTGGTTGGTTTATTTATTTATTTTTATGGTTTTGTTTTTGGTTCTACATGTAAGTAAGATCATATGTTCTTTGTCTTTCTCTGACATTTCATTTAGCATAATGCCCTCAAGGTCCATCCATGTTTTCACAAATGGCAAAATTTCATTCTTTTTAAGGCTGGATAATGTTTCTCTGAATACATATACCACATTCTCTTTATCCATTCTGCCATCTATGAATACATAGGTTGCTTCCATATCTTTGCTACTGTAAATAATGTAGTTAACACTGGGGCGCATGTATCTTGTTGAATTAGTATTTTCATTTTGTTTGTATAAGCACTCAGAAATGGAATTGCTGGATTATATAGTAGTTCCATTTTTAATTATCTGAGGAACTTCCATACTGTTTACCATAGTGGCTGAACCAGTTTGTGTGCGTGCTAAGTTGTTTCAATCATTTTGGACTCTTTGTGACCCCATGGACTATAACCTGCCAGGCTCCTCTGTCCATGGGATTTTCCTGACCCAGGGATCAAACCCACATTTCCTGCACTGACAGGTGGGTTCTTTACCACTAGCGCCACCTGGGAAGTCCAACCAGTGAACCAGTTTACATTCTACCAAAAGGGCTTGAGGTTTCTCTTTTCATACCCCTGCTGCTAAGTCACTTCAGTTGTGTCCAATTCTGTGCGACCCCATAGACGGCAGCCCACCAAGCTTCCCTGTCCCTGGGGTTCTCCTGGCAAGAACACTGGAGTGGGTTGCCATTTCCTTCCCCAATGCATGCATGCATGCTAAGTCGCTTCAGTCGTGTCTGACTCTGTGCGACCCCACGGACAGCAGCCCACCAGGCCTCTCTGTCCCTGGGGTTCTCCAGGCAAGAATCCTGGAGTCAGCTGCCATTTCCTTCCCCAATGCACGCATGCATGCTAAGTCGCTTCAGTCGTGTCTGACTCTGTGGGACCCCACGGACAGCAGCCCACCGGGCCCCTCTGTCCACGGGATTCTCCAGGCAAGAGTACTGGAGTCAGCTGCCATTTCCTCCTCCATCATACCCCTGCTGGCACTTGTTAACTTTGTCTTTTTAACAACAGCCTTTCTGGCAGGTATAAGGTGACATCTCACTGTGGTTTTGATCTCTTCATCTGGCTTGTGATTTGTATTCTTTAAATGTCCTTTGTAACAAGCTGATAATCCAGTGAGTGAGCCATTTTAGTAAATTAATCTAACCCAAGAAGCGGAAAATGGGAACCTCTGATTTATAGCCAGTCAGTCAGAAGTACATGTGACAACCTGGACCCTGACTGGCATCCTGAGCTGCAGGAGGTTGTGGGAACCTCCAGTTTGTAGCAGTTGGTCAGAAGCACTGGTAACAAACTGGGTTATAACCAGTGTCTGAAGTATAGGGTGATCTTATGGGACTGAACCCTTTACCTGTGGAATCTGATTTTATCTCCAGATAGTGTCACAATTAAATTGATTTCTTGGACACCCTGCTGGCATTTGGGAACTGCTTACTGGTGTTAGAAAGGCTTCACACAGGCACACAATCACAGTGGAATGGGGTCCAGGAACTCTTTTAGTTCCTTGTCCTTCCTGATGATAGACAAAAAAACTTTCAGCTTTTCATCATTAAATATTATATTAGTTGTGCCATGTATGGCCGTTCCCTGTATACCCACTTTATTGATAGCATTAACATAAATGGATGCGGAATTTTGTTAAATGCTTTATTTGCAACTATTGCAATGATCTTATGATTTTTATCCTTCATTGTGTTAATGTATTATATCACAGTGGTTAGTGAATGTTGAACCATTTCTACATCCCTGGAATAAAAGCTACCTGATCACAGCCTATGATCCTTTAATGTGTTAATGAATTCAGTTTGCTAATATTTTACTGAAAATTGTTGTATTTATATTCACCAGGGATATTGGCCTGCAATTTTCTTTTCTTGTGGTGTCATTATCTGGTCTTAGTTATCAGAGTAATGTTGGACTCTTAAAATGAGTTTGGAAGAGTTTCCTTCTGTGAAATTGTGATTTATAAAAATGTATGTATAATTTGACATTCAGATGACCAAACTATACTTCTCATACATTTAGTCTCCCTACAAGGTTCGTGCTTCACAGTTCCAAACACCAGCATAACATAAATGGATGTGGAATTTTGTTAAATGCTTTTTCTGCATCTACTGCAATGATCATATGATTTTTACTAAGTGCTGAGAGTGATAACTGTGTATATTGCTATGTTAACAAGGTGACTTCGGGAAAGCCCCTAAAACTGGGGCTGGCTGCCAGTTTTGGCTGGCAGAGCCAATCTTATGATCAGAGGATTAGAACACTCAGTCTTATCTCCTAACCTTCAGGTAAGACTGCACTGACTAAGGTTATTAAGAAGTAAATGGCAACCCACTCCAGTACTCTTGCCTGGAAAATCCCATGGAAAGAGAAGCCCAGTGGGCCACAGTTCATGGGGTTGCAAAAGAGCTGGACACAGCTGAGTGACTGAGCACATTAAGAAGTAGGAAAGCCGTGGGGCCTAATTTATTTTACATACAGCAAGTTTGCAGAAGCAAAAGTAGAAAAAGCAAGACTGTTCTATAATTGTCCTAATAGTTCAGAATGCCAGGCACAAATAAAATTCATTAAAAGTTTCTTTAGTCTGTAGGCAACTATTTATGAGTAAAAAAAAAACTCAACAAAGTGGTTATAGAGGGAACATTTATCAACATAATAAGAGCATCCAAATTGGAAAAGATGAAGTAAAACTATCACTGTTTGCAGAGCTGTGTGGGACACTTAATTCTCCACTGCTGTGTAACAAATTAGACCAATTGTAGCCACTTAGAACAACAGACATTTATTACCTGACAGGTCCGGTAGGTCAGGAGTCTACGGCTGAGCTGGTGGCTCTGGCTCAAGATCTCCCCTGGGGCTGAGGTCAAAGTTTATGGCAGTGAGGTGCCCAGAGACTGTCCTGGAGCAGACTTCACCTCCAAGCTCACTTCTGGGCCCGAATTCTCCTCACATGTCCTCTCTCCACAGGGCTGTCTGGTGATGGGTAGCTGGCTACTCCCAAGAAAAAAATAAGAAGAAAGAGTGAGAACACAGACAGGATTTAAGCTTCAGGCTTTTATAACCTAATCTAGGAAGTGAGACCATGTCACTTCTGCCATTGTGAATCCCTAAGTCCACACCACCCAAAGACACAAATTGTCTTTCCTCTTGAATGAAAAGAGGAATGGCTAAGACTTTTTAGACACATTTTGAAAACCACCACGATTCTTTGGCTCTAGAGGAAGCATTCTGTTGTTCATGGGGAGGTACAGTCTTCAGACTCAGCAAATACATCTACTCCAGAGAGAACAATACCACCTTGTCCATCATAGAAAGGGTTTAAAGTAAATCACAGGCCACAAGTAGCTGGTTGTTTCCTATCATGTTAAAAAGAGTTGAAACAAACATTTCAGTGACTTGAGTTTAAGAGGGATTATATTTGCAATGTTAATTTGATGAATAACATTGCAATATGAAATAATAAACATAAATTTAGTGTATTAGAAAGTTATCATTGTTCACAGTAACATTTTGCTTATAGAGTAGTGTTCTCACCGAGAATCAATCTTAAGGGATTCAAAAGTACCATTATAAACATTTTTGAGTAAGTATTGTCCAGGTGGCACTAGTGGTAAAGAATCCACCTGCCAAAGCAGGTGACACAGGTTAGATCCCTGGGTTGGGAAGATCCCATGGAGAAGGAAGTGGCAACCCACTCCAGTATTCTCACCTAGAGAATCCCATGGACAGAGGAGCCTGGCAGGCTGCGGTCCATAGGGTCACAAAGAGTCAGACAAGACTAAAACGACTTAGCATGGAGTGTTCTCATTGTGAAACAGTCCTAAAGGATTCAAAAACATCTATATAAAAATTTTGGGGTAAGTGTTGTTAAGTTAACAGGTTTCAACATCAGGTCAAACTGGGTGTCAGTGAATACAATTTCCTATCTCACTTTCCTCATTTTGGTTTTCCATTCAGGGAGTTTTCTTTTCATGTATTCTGTGTAGCTGTACGCACATCCACAGGTTATTTTTTAAGTCTCCTCCTGTCTTTAGAGGCAGCGCGGGGCAGCGGGGACAGCAAGAGGAGCCGAACCGCCAGTGCCCTTCCTGGCCTCGCCACTCCCAGCTGGCTGGACGCCGGCCTCTCTCGTCTGTGAATCACGAATAACGGTCCCTTCCCCCAGGGTGGAAGGAAAGGTGGAGATAAACATGCGCAGGGCTTAACACAAGCCCTGGCAAAGAGTAACATGTAAGCTACAATCATTACTATCAGATATCTACAATTAAAACGAAAACCGAGAAGTTATCTGTCGAGGGCCAATGTCTGTCAAGACCACCACTTATGAGTTACTGGGAATCTCGGGTTTTGCTTGTTTAACTGGTTTTGCTCCCAGAATCCCAAGGTAAGACCCAGCAGGTAAATTACTGAGCCGCTGCACTGACATCAGCACGTTCACACTAGCCGTACATTTAATTTTCCTCGTTTTCTCCCTTTTGGGCCAGGAAGTGGCGGAGGGATCTCGGGCGAGTATGTTGAAGGAGGGTAATGACCATGTTGGCAACAGCCAAGACAGCTGCATTTCCGGTGGAAGTGCTGTGACTCTCTTCCCTTCAACCAACCTGTTCTCAAAACCGAAAGGCGAATTCCCAGCCTGAGCCCCAGCCCTCTGAGGCCGCCGAGACCCCGACGCCCTCGCTGCCTCAGAGCAACGCGCCAAGTTTAAATAACGTGCCGTCCCCTCATTGGCTGGCGCTGCTGCTCGTTGATTGGCTCCGCGCGAAGGTGGGCGTTACCGGGCGCGCCCACTGGTGGGGGCGGGAATTTTTAACTGGGCGATGCCCCTGCGCCATTAGCTCCTCCTAGCAGTTTGAGAGTCTCTTGGCCAGCCTATCTTCCTGGGACTCGGCGACCCGAGAGAAGGGGCGGATTCTCTCTCGATCCCCACAGTTGCTCGAGGGGACGCGGTGCGCGTTCCTTCGGAGGCCGCTGGGAGCATCCGGGCGGACCCGGAAGCCTCGGTGGCGACCTGGCACCCGGGGCGCTGCTGCTGGGAGCGAAGCCCGCCAGAGCCGAGGCCGCGGGCGGGGCAGAGAGGTCCCAGGCCGGAGAAGAAGGCGGCGTCCCCGCCCGTCCTGTCCCTCAGCCACTTGTAAGAGCACTTTGAGCATCTTTTTTTGCAGATGTGCTCGTCTTCTGGGTTAGTCAATTAAACTTTCAGCTCCTTGGTGGCTTAGGCAGTAAAGAAATGAAGTGAAAGTCGCTCAGTCGTGACCGACTCTTTGCGACCCCATGGAAATTCTCCAGGCCAGAATACTGGAGTGGGTAGCCTTTCCCTTCTCCAGGGGATCTTCCCAACCCAGGGATCGAACCCAGGTCTCCCACATTGCAGGCAGATTCTTTACCAGCTGAGCCACCAGGGAAGCTCCAGACGGTAAAGAATCTGCCTGCAATGCTAGAGACAGGAGTTCCATCCTTGGCGGGGAGATGGGAGGGAGCAATCGCTGGAGGTGGGAAAGATCTGCTGGGGAAGTGAATGGCAGCCGGCTCCAGCTCTTGCCTGAAGAATCCCATGGACAGAAGAGCCTGGCTGGCTACAGTCCATGAGGTCACAGGGTTGGGACACGACTGAGTGACTAGCACTTTTACTTAAGGAAGAAAAGAATAGTACTACATTTTGTCATGCCTTAAAAAAGAAAATAGACAAACTAAAAATTAAACACCTTTGCAGCCCCCAAACATATACCCAAGTAATGCTTATAATTCAAATCTGCTAAATTACATGTCCCCAATCTTTTGAATTAGACTTCCCTAGTGGCTCAGAGGTTAAAGCGTCTGCCTGCAATGCAGGAAACCTGGGTTCTATCTCTGGGTCGGGAAGATCCCCTGGAGAAGGAAATGGCAACCCACTCCAGTATTCTTGCCTGGAGAATCCCATGGACAGAGAAGCCTGGTAGGCTACAGTCCACTGGGTCACAAAGAGTTGGACATGACTGAGCTACTTCACTCACTTACTCAGTCTTTTGAAAGATTTTCATTTTAATGAGAAAGT